CTTCCTCATCTGCATCGAGATGGTCTTCGCCTCCATTGCCCTGCGCTATGCCTTCACCTGCCAGGTGTACTCTGAGAAGAAAGAGCATTCACCAGGTAAGCCAGGCTTGCCAGCCAGAGTACCTGAATGCACCCCAGGGGTGGACACCTAAGCCAAGAGCAGGCAGGGGTCTCGGACCTCTGAGGGGCAGGGCTGGCATCCCTAGAAAGTGGGTGGTGTGGGTGTAGTCGCCCAGATTACTTGTCTCTCCCCGCCCCCCGCCCTGCCCCCAAAATCCCAGAGCCAGACATGTATCTCCCAGGGGAAGAGCCAGGTGCTGGTGGCTCACACCTGTAATCCTAGCTACCTAGGAGGCTAAGATCTAAGGATCAGGGTCCAAAGTCAGCCTGGGCAGAAAACCACATGAGATTCTCATCTCTAATTAACCAGAAAAAATAAATTAAAAAAATAAAAAAATTAAAAGTGAGAGAGAGAGACAGAGACACAGAGACAGAGAGAGACAAAGACAGAGACACAGACAGAGACACAGAGAGAGAAAAAGAGAGCGCGCGCAATCAGTTGGAGGCCCCTGGCTCAGTCTGAAGGCCAGGGTTATGTTTGAGGGACCAACCCTGCTAGCCAGGATCAGGGTGAATGGACATCCAAGGACCCCCAGCCCTGCCTGAGGTGGAGTTGAGAGGCAGAGTTGAGGGCTAAGTCTCCAGATAGAGTCTCCTAGGGGCTGGCTGGGGTCCATGGAGCCCCCCACCCACCGCTGTTCCGCCCTCAGGCCCCCCAGCCCCCATGCAGAGCATCTCCAGCGGCCTCAAGGAGACCATCAGCCCTCAGGACATCGTGCAGGATGCCATCCACAACTTCTCCCCAGCCTACCAGCAGTACACGCAGCAGGCCACGCATGAGGCCCCAGGTCCCGGCCACCCCGTACCTGGCACCCTCCCTGGTCTGGCCAGTAGCTCTGGAGGGAGCAGGAAGAGCCGAAATGTGGAGAAACGCATGCTGATCCCCTCGGACGACCTGTAGCGGGCCTCAGGGTCTGCGTGACCGGCTGAGGGCACAGGCTGCCCGGTCCTCTGGGGAAAAACAGGGTCCCCCACCCTCAACTCTCTTATCGAAGGTCCAGCCTACAAGGCCATGGAGACCTTTTCATACTGTGTCCAGTCAGGGGTCAGGGTGCCTATGGGCCACAGCATGGGAGAAGTCATCTGGGCATGCTAGATAGGCCTGAGGACCCACTGGGTACCTTGCCACAGACCTCAGGGGGGTCATTGAAAGGCTGGACATGAATGTGGCCAGGGGGTCACACATGGTATAATAGAGGATGGCCAAGTCTCAGGTCAGGGGCTGCAGGGAGAACTGGGTACCCAGCCTGACAGAGGGACCCAGTGCTGTAGACAGGAGGTGTGCCAAGCCTGGGTGAGGGCCCTGGGTGCATAGAGAAGCCCCCCCCCCCTCCACTCCAGCCACAGGAGCCTGGTGAGGTCCTGACCGGCATCCATCTGCACAGACCCGCTGCAGGCTGGCCTTCCAAGCACACTATCACCTCCCTGTGAGCTCTCCTTATTTATAGATAAACACCTTGAATTTTTTATTTTCTTATTTATTTATTTGGTCAGTTGTGGGGTTTGAACTCAGGGCTTGGGCGCTGTCCCTCAGCTCTTCTGCTCAAGGCTACTGCTCTACCACTTGAGCCACAGCACCACTTCTGGTGGTTAATTGGAGATGAGTCTCATGAACTTCACTGCCCCAGCTTAAACTGCAGCCCTCAGATCTCAGCCTCCTAAGTAGCTAGGATGAAAGGTGTGAGCCACTGGCGCTCAGCTACACCTTGGGTTTTCTTTTTTTTTTTTTTTTTTTTGTCGGTCGTGGGGCTTGAACTCTGGGCCTGGGCACTGTCCCTCAGCTCTTCAGCTCAAGGCGAGCGCTCTACCACTTGAGCTACAGCTCCACTTCCAGTTTTCTGGTGGTTTATTGGAGATAGGAGTCTCACATTCTCTCCTGCCCGGGCTGGCTTTGAACTGCGATCCTCAGATCTCAGCCTCCTGAGTAGCTAGGATTACAGGCGTGAGCCACCAGCGCCCGGCTACACCTTGGGTTTTCTAATGCTTGTTGAACCTCTCTTCCTGCAGGGCCAGGATAGGGGAGAGGGGAGGCGGTAAGGCGTAATATGTCAGGTAAGGTCCCAGGACCTGGGACAGCCAGGACCTGGGCGGCCTGGGGCAGCCACCTGCGGTGTGGCTGCAGTCAGGCCATGTAAGACAAACTAGAATTCATCATCAAATGCCAGTGGATGCCATCTGTTGTCCAGCTCTGAGGCTCCAGGGAGGCCGAAGCAGCCGCCTCTCTCTGGACTGTATCAGCCTTGTCCTACAGCGGGCAGGTGGTGCAGTCTAGAATGGCTGGGTACAAGGGTCTCAGTTCTGGGAGACTGCTTTGCCTTCTTCCTGCTCCTGCTCCTCCTCCTCCTCCTTATTCCCCTTTCTCCTCTGTGCCAAGTGACAGTTGGCAGACTAGAGGATCACCTTAGAAACTGGTGCCCTTTGGGAACCTTCTAGAGGGGACCTAGCCCTGGACACTGTCTCCCGGGCAGAGGGGGCATGCAGGGCAGGAGTCTGGGTGCCACAGCACAGGCTGCAAGGAACCTGCTGCCCGTTTGGGCACAGCAGACAGGAGGGGCCAGCGGGCACCAATCAGCCAGGGACACTCAGCTGGGTGGCAACTGTCTAGTCGCATGAGCCTCACCGCGGGGCGGCTCCCCTGCCTTCTCCGTGTGGGAGGATGGGGACAGGAAAGCAAGGCCAGTGGCTTCTTGGGGCCCAGCTGTGCAGCTTGATAAGCCTGGCCTGGCTCCCCTGTGCCTTCCCTGCCCCTCCTTATCATTGCCCTCTGCGCTGGCAGGCCCCACCCACTGGTCAACAGGCCAGGAAGGGAGACTCCATCCTGCTCCCTGAGGCCAAGGAGGCTCTGTGGATGGGCCCTGTCCCCACCATGGAGAGGCTACTGTGGAGAGAGCTGAGGTTCCCAGAGCATGCACAGTGGGCAGCTGGCCATGACTCCTCTCCTGGGGTCCCAGATGGCTATGTGGGCACCAGGGTCACTTACTGGTCAGCACTGGATCCAAGGGGGAGGGAACTGGATTCCCACATGTGCCAGGAGCACTGTACATGACAGCCTTGGTTGAGTGAGCCCAGAGAGGTCTGGCAAGTTGCCTGAGGGTACACAGCAGAGCTGCTGGGCCCAGGCCACAGCCCCACCCCAGGAGATCAAAGGAGGCTGCCCAGCAGACAGGGGTCAGCTTGCCCTGGCCTCACTTGTTTCCACCTCTGAAGTTGCCCAGGAGGTCTGTGGCCTCCATACACAGCCACACAGCCTCCACTCTGGGCCAGGATTCTCTTGGTATTTTTGTGCCAATAGTAGGGCCTGAACTTAGGGCCTGGACATTGTCTCTTCACTTTTTCACCTAAGGCTAGTGCTGTATCACTTGAGTCACAGCTCTGCTTCCAGCTTTTTGGTTGTTAATGCAGTTGAGTCTCATGGACTTTTCTGCTTGCGCTGGCTTCAAGCCAGTCCTGGGGCTTGCACTCAGGGCCTGGGCACTGTCCCTGAGCTGCTTTTGCTCAACGCTAGCACTCTACCACTTGAGCCACAGTGCCATTTCCGGCTTTTTCTGTTTATGTGGTACTGAGGAATCGAACCCAGGACTTCATGCATGCTAGGCAAGCTCTCTACCACTGAGCCACCTTCCCAGCCCCTGGATTCAAATTGTGATCTTCAGATCTCAGCCTCCTGAGTACCTAGGATTATAGGCCTGAGTCACCAATGCCTAACTTGGGCCAGAAATCTTGTGTGTCCAAGCTCATGACCACCCACTCTGAGTTGCCCATCTCCCCAGAGGTACCACAGGGGTCAGCTGCAGAGAGGACTGGATTAACTGGGCTCTCCAGCACTGCCACTCCTGCTGATACAAGCGTTTGTGATGGTCCTTGCAGGTCTGACCCACTGTACCAGGGCCATGGCATCCTTCCAGTCAGCATAGGCTGGAAGGAGACAAGATGGCTGGCAGGTTTAGAACACTCAAGGCAGCTCTAAATTTTTATTTTTATTTTTTGTCAGTCATGGGGCTTGAACTCTGGGCCCGGGCACTGTCGCTGCACTCTTCAGCTCAAGGTAAATGCTTTACCACTTGAGCCACAGCGCCACTTCTGGTTTTCTGGTGGTTAATTGGAGATAGGAGTCCACAGACTTTCCTGCCTGGGCTGGATTTGAACTGTGATCCTCAGATTTCAGACTCCTGAGTAGCTAGGATTACAGGAGTGAGCCACCCACACCTGGCATAGAGCTCTACTATCTTGACCCTCCCTTCTTCACCCAGCTGAGGTTGCCCAGACAGGCTCACCACAGAAGGCCAGGCTCAACCTGCAGCCAGGCTGGCCCAAGGTCGGGTTGGGTCCTTTGCTTACTGGAGTGGCCTCAGCTAGTGATCCAAGGGCTTTGTCCTCTGCCCCTCTCGATATCCAGCAGGCTCATCTCAGCCAACTAAGCTGTGCGAGGGGGCTGCTGGGACAGCACCCTGCACAGCCCGAGGCTCCACCAGGACGGGCTGTGCTCTGAGGTCGCCCTGCAGCTGTTGTGCATTTCCAGGGGTGGCTACGCCTGGGATCTTCTTTTGCATAAGCCTGTACTCAAGGCTTGACCTCAGGGCCTCACACTCAGTTTATTCTGCTCAAGGCTAGCACTCTACCACTTGAACCAAACTACTGAGTTTTTGCTATAAGTTAACTACCCTGGCTGGCTTTGAATCATGATCCTCACAACCCAGCCTTCTGAGTAGCTAGGATGACAGGTGTGAGTTCTGGTGCCAGTTAAGACCTGGGTTCTTGACCTGGCCATTGCAGATACAGCCACAGGAGAAAATTGGGTTTGTGAGGGAGATGCTGGGTGCACCCCACAGCCTAGGATGTGGGGATCCTCACCTAGAGCACCGGCCATATAGAAGCAGTATTTGAAACAGGAAACTCTTTATTGCAAGGGTATAAAAGTAGTCACAGCGCAACATGTACAGCAATAAATTAGGTGGGGGGGGGGCGTGGATAGGGCAGGGGAGCACAGAATATGATCTCAATAATTTATATCATGGGAAGAAGCAGCACACAAAAAAATAAATATTGAAATGAAACTGCCGAGGCAGGAGATGGAGAAGTTGGGGCCACAATGGATGAGCCTCTGTCACCTTGGAAGCAAAGCTCGACTTCTTTGGGGAGTGGAGGCAGCAGACAGAAAAGAAACCCATGCCACAGAGAGGTCCTTGTTTTTTGTTTTCTTAAATTAAAAAATAAATCCATATATTAAATCGTGACAACAAAATGTCAGTGATCTGAAGTTAAGCAGAGGGCACCCACTGGGTGGCCCGGCAGGGGCTGGGCAGCGACGGCAGCTCGTTCGGGTCACCCCAGAGGCCGAGGGTTAGGAGCCCCATCTTTAGCAAAGCACCAGAGGCTGAGAGCAGTCACCTGCCTGCTGCAGTCCCGCAAGGTGGGGTGTGGAGACCCCAAGACTGGATAGATCCAACCACCCCGGCAGGGCCACCCACTGAGCAGGGTCCACAGAGCGCGGCCAGCTTCAAGTCGGGGGTCCTAATGCCCCATCCCACCCACTGTCTGGCCAACTCTGTGCTGCTAGTGGAGAACTACAGTATCAAACTGGAAAACTGTTCTGAAAAATCTATACGATAAAATGTGTATATAATTATATAGATAGATTCTCTCTTTCTAAATACTTCCCACGGTCCTATTGATATCCAATATGGATTACCTACCATGGCTATGGCACGATGGTATTTCCTAATTGCCCTTGGGCCTCTGCACTGTGGGGACCCAGGCCCCTGCGTGGGCTGGGCTGTGGCCTGGCCTGGCCTCCTGCGTTCCCCAGAGCCTGGGAGGTGACAAGCCACACACACGGCAGTGCCACCGAGCGCTCTGGCTTTGTCTCCAAATCGAATGGTGGACACAGGAGCTCGTGGTGGTCCTTGGGGCTCATCCTTATGTGTCGGATCCCTGCCCAGCGGCTTGGCAATCTGTGTGTGTGAGGGGAGAGGGGGCGTCCTACTGCTGGTATGAGGGAACAGGGCCCGAGGCCCTGCACTGCCTCTGCTGTCACGCGTTGTTTCTGGCTAGCAGCATAAGGTGGGATCCACGGGGGGCCCACCACCACCCCGGCTCCAGTCCCAGTCCTAAAACAGCATAGATGGGAACTCCAGCTGATGATCAGAACCAGCTGCTCTGGGTGACTGCACCCCAGGAGGCAAGTCTTTGAGGCTCTCCTGCCTGTGCCCTCTGACCCTCCCCAATTTACTGCGCTAGACTCCACCATGGTCTGGGGCCCTGGACCCCCACCTGCCTGCCTTCCTCCCTGCCCATCTCCCTCAGCAGTGGGAACCAAAGTCCTGAACTTGCATGCCCACATCTACCACTACCCCTGGCCACCTGCCGCTGCTCACCTTCTCCCTGTCTGAGCGTAGCTGGCAAGCAGCTGCCCGCTCTCCACTCCACAGCCGACGGGACACCCTGCCCATTCCCGCCCAGCTGCAGGGTGGCTGGCTGGCGCTTACACCTCACCAAGTGGCCTCCCTGGGTCACAGAACACTGGGAGAATTCACAACATCCACAAAACTCTCTGCACACATACTGGACAGGCCCTCCAGAACCCCCATGGGCAAGCAGGCTGGTCCTCTAAGGCCCCAGTGCTGGTGGCAAGGGGCTCTGACTGCAGGCGTGCATTTTACACAGGGACACACCCCAGGCCACCCAGGCTTACCTTTCCCTCACCCCCTGGTACCAGGAGCTAAAGCAGGCCATAGCCACTTTGACAGGGAAAGTTGGAAGACCACAGCTGCCCACAGGCCCCCCATCCTGTTCCTAGGCAGAGGTGCGTGGTAAGGTGCAGGCACTCCAGCCGACCCCGCCGGGCCCCCCACCTCCACCCTGGCATGGCGGAACAGGGCTGATGGCTGCTCATGGGAGGACTGGAAGGCTAAGTCCCTGCTCCAGGCCACAGGGGCCCAGCACCGGGCCGCTCTTCCTGGAAGACCCCATGGGGAAAGGCAGAATCCACTGGGGTGACCACACTTCCCGGAAACACACATTTAGGGGGGGAAAGTATGGGTGTGAGTGTGTGTGCATGTGTGTCTGCGTGTGGGGGGATGGCGTGGGGCACCTGGCTCACAAGAGCCTACTTTTCATCCTGCGCCTGCCACCTGTCCCGCTGTCCCTGCCTTGGGCCCCCCCGCAGGGTGTGCAATGGCTGGATGGTCAGAGTCTGTGCCAGGGACGTTGGGACAGGCAGGAGGGCCATGCCGCTGCCTGCCCAGCCCCCTGGCAGGCACTAGGACGCAGCCGAGAAGGGCACGGAGGCGGAGGAGATCTCGGCCGACTTGACAATGGTGATGACGCTGGTGGTGGCCACCTTGGTGGGGGTGACGGGCCCGCGGGCCACGGTGCGAGCGAAGGTCTGCAGGGCCTCGTACTTGGAGCGCAGGGCGTCCAGCTCCAAGCGCATGCTGCTGTTCTCGCGCGCCAGCTTCTCCACCTCCTGCTGCAGCTCCACCCGCTGGCGCTCCAGCTCTTCCTTCTGCGTCACCCGCTTGATGCGGCAGCTGGCTGCGTACCCGCGGTTCTTCAGCGTGCGGCGCCGCTGCTTCAGGCGCGTCACCTCCTCCTTGGTGAGTCCCCGCAGGTGCTGATTCAGCTCCCGCACGGACATGGACACCAGCTCATCATCGCTGAGCACTGGGGCGTTCTCGCCCGCCTCCTTCTTGACCTGCAAGGACCACAGCGGGGTCAGACAAGGAGGGACCCAGGGTCTACATGGCAAACCTGCCTCACAGCAGCTACATGGCAGTTTGGGGGGAGGCAGAAAGATCTAGCAGTGCCCTCCACCTGCCCCTGCCCAGGGCTGACCCTCACCTTCCACGCCAGGGCCTGGGGTGGTGCATGCACCCTCACTGCTGGCTGCCCTGGCTCACCAATCCTTATTCTGGTAGTATTAGGGATTGAACTTGAAAACTTGGGCCTCCAGGGTCTCTAAAGAAAAGCCTCCCTGGATTTAGTGTGTGTGTGTGTGTGTGTGTGTGTGTGTGTGTGTGTGTGTGTGTGTGTGTGTGTGTGTGTGTGTGTGTGTGTGTGTGTGTGTGTGTGTGTGTGTGTGCGCGCGCGCCAGCAATGGGGCTTGAACTCAGAGCCCAATGCCAGTAGTGGGGCTTGAACTCAGAGCCCAATGCTGTCACTAAGTTTTGGCGGTTTTGAGTCGGTCGTGGAGCCTGGGCACTGTCCCTCAGCTCTTCAGCTAAAGGCTTGTACTTTACCATTTGAGTCACAGCGCCACTTCCAGTTTTTCTGGTGGTTTATTGGAGATAAGAGTCTCACTGACTTTCCTGCCCAGGCTGGCTTTAAACCAAGATCCTCAGATCTCAGCTTCCTGAATAGCTAGAATTACAGCTGTGAGCTACCAGCTCCTGGTGTCACTGAGCTTTTTTGCTCAAGGCTAATGCTCTATCACTTAAGCAACAGCTCCACCTCCAGCTTTTTGCTGGTTAATTGGACAAAGTGCCCAGACTAGCTTCAAATTGTGGCCTTCAGATCTCAGCCTCCTGAATAGCTGGGATTATAAGTGTGAGCCACCAGTGCCTGGCTGGTCTCTGTCACTTAACACTTAAGCCACACTCTCCCCAGCCCTTTAGTTTTTATTTCGCTTTTGAGCCAGGGTCTCACCACTAACTTTTCCCAGGCTGGCCTTGAGATCAAGATCTTCTCGCATCTACCTCCTGAGTAGCTGGGATTACAGGCATGAACCACTGTGCCCAGTGGTTGGGACCCTCTTTGAACAGCTGTTCCCTTGGGAAAGCAGTGGCCGTGTCACTGCCAGCCATCACTTTGGAGGTCACAGGCCATCTTGTAGGATAATTCAGGGCCCCAGGCCTGGTACAGATGGGAGCTCAACCAGCCTTTCCAGGTAAGCCATGGGAATGCGTAGAGCCCCCCACCTCCACCTACCATGGGGCAGAGCCAGGGTGCTCAGGTGTGTATGGTCCACCTGCACCTCCCAGGAACTGATGTGAAAGCTGGCCTGAGGCACCCCTTGACCATGGGAGCTGAGGGCACCCAGGAAGTAGCAGGGGCCTGGCTGTCCAGAGCAGGAGCACCCTGCTGTCCAAGGCCATTCTGTCCACCTCTGGCTCTGCAGGAGCAGAGTCTGCAGCTGCCCCTCCTCCTCCAACCTGATGTCCCATGGCCTAGGTCCTTAGGCTACTATCCCTATCCCTCATCTCTTCCCCCCACTCCATCTGGACTGCCCCCGCACCCCCCATTCAATGCTCCTCCACCGATTGCTGCAGACAAGACCTTCATATTCCCCAGGGGAGAAAAGGGGCCCTGGCTTAGGCCATACCTTCAATGCCTTGTTTGGCTTGGGATTAGTCGTCATAACCCGGGCACAGTCACCAGGACAGAAGCACTTGGAAACAGCAGCTGGAGAGAGAGGGACATGGGAGAGGCAGGGGTCAGACCCAGACAGGATCCACCACGCCCTGCCTCCCTGTGGGGTACTCCAGGGGCCCGCTGTGTTCAAGCAGCAGGGTTCCAGAGCCCCCGGCATGGAACAGGACTGTCCTGGAGCTCCAGCCTCACCCTCAGCACAGCCAGGACCATCCTCAGCAGCTACCTCCAACACCCACCCCCCCCCTCCCACCCCCCCCCTCCCACCCCCACCCCCACTGCCACCAGTGTGTGGGACTCTCCAGCGCTGGGGGTGAACACCAGCTATGAGCCATGGTGGCTCCCTGCCTTCACTCCCCTCCTGAGCCCAGATAAGACATTGGCACCCAGGAGGCCCCAAGTGCTGAGTCCTGAAGACCGAAGTGATCAGCCACAAGGCCACCTCCCCTTTCCAGCCCCAAAGGCGTGTGGTTAGCCACTGGACAGCATCCCAGACCCAGCCTGGCTCCCCAGGGAGACCAGGAGCCCCTGTCCTTGCCCACAAGATGGACCAGGACAGAGCACCTGCCACCCCTCCTGGCAGCTTAGGGTCGCCTACCTCGGTGAAGGAGACTGCAGCTGTGGCATGACCACCCACCCAGGCTGCCCAGGAGCCTCAGGTGGACAGCAAGTTCAAAGGTTGTGGCCCAGAGACCCGAGGTGGGTAAGTGGGAGGCCAAGATTGCCTCAGGAGGCCGCCTCCCCGACCTAATCAACTGTCTGGCAGGAGCTGAGCCGTCCTGGTCTCCGTCCCTGCCAGCCAGCCCCCTCACCCGCCCTTCTTGGTTTCCAGTCTGCATTGTGTCACACATTCTAATCATTCATGAAAAACCCAGCCAAAGCATCCCAAGCATGATTCCCCTCTGATAGTTGCCATGGCGACCTTGGGAAATAGCCAACCCCGGGTGGTCGCCATGGAAACGGAGAAGCCCAAAAGCAATCATGACTTCAGGTCAGGCCTGTGCATAAGACATCACCCATCACGAGGTTGTCAGTAAACAAACTCATTCACTTGCCTGCGGAAGGAGTGGGGGCGGGAAGTACACAAATGGCCTTGGAGTGGGCACCCCTCAACTCCCATACCCCGAACCCCAGACCCTGAGGAAGGGAGCAATGCAGAGGAGCCTCAGAGAAAACAGGGCAAGGAACGAAGGGCACCAAGGGCATATTTAGCAGATGCCAGGCAGCCTTCCCTGCCTGGACCCTTGGGCCTGAATCCATCCCTGCTGCAGGCCTGTCCCTTCTGGGGACCGGTCTCTGTAGCCCCCCCACCCTCCACTGCCAGAAAGCCAACGTGAGGCAGGGTCTCCGCTTCCACAGGCACTGACAGCGGCCAGGGCCGGAAGGTTGTGCGGCTAGCTGCGACTTAGGGGAGTGGAGCTCTCCTCCTATATCCTCACCCAACCACCACTGGGGCCCCCATCACGTGGAGGTCCCAGCTGGGTTACAGGGACATGGCACAAGCCACCTCGTGAGTGAGTGAGTGCCCCGCAGGAGCCAGGCGCCTGGGAGCCATGAGAAAGTTTTCCGAGTGAGGGAGGAGGGGCCGGGCTCAGCTCAGCTCGCCCCGCGTCAGTGGCATTGCTATGCGGTGAGTCACGCAGGCTGTTTACAGAGCAGCGCACATTCCCACACAGGGGTGCCCCTCCCCGCGCATGGGCCCTGGCGGAAAAGGGAGGAGCCGGGGAAGGGGCCTCTGGCCAGACCCAAGGTGAGGGGATGTGCTGAGCTGCCTGGGTTGGGGGGTGCAATGGTGGCCAGGATGGGCACAGAGGCCCGCCCCCAGGTGACCCCAGGAGGGTCAGTGCTGGCCAGCACAAGGTCACTGTGGGCAGTATGGTTAAATTCTCCCCACCCCCGCAGACCCCGCCACACCCACTGCGCTGGGCTTCTGGGCACCCTGGAGCACCAGAAAAACAGCCCACAGGGTCCCTGCGGGGGTTCATGGCAAGGCCTGCGGGCAGGGGCCCTTCCTCAGCCCTCCTGCCCATCGGAGGATGTGGCCACCCTCCCCAGCTGGCCTGTGACACCCCCCCTGACAACACTCTGAGATGAGGGAAGCCTCAGCCTCTGTTGGTCATGCCTTCAGGATAAAGGGGTTCCGTGAGAAAGCCCCAGGGACATGCCAGCTCCCAGGGCACAAGGAGCCTGGCAGGTGAAACACCAGCTCCGAGGCTCCTCTGCCCCGGTGCCGCCCAGAGCACACACAGCCTGTAGTTCTGGCCAAGCCCCCAATCCACAGCACTGTGCTCACACCCCCACTCTGGGACAGAAGCCTGGCTCTGTGACGGCCCAAGCAAGGGCTTGATCGGCCTGCCGGACAGGCAGAGACCCAAATGGACTACAGGTAACAGGTGTAGGGTGCACAAAATCCATCCAGACCAGGCTAACCTAAAGTTGCTTTAAACATCAAAGATAAGGAAAGGCACAGCTAGCCTTTGGAAAGGGGTCCAGAGGAGACTTTGGGGGTTGTTTTGTTTAGCTTGCTTACTCATAGCTTGTGCTCTACAAATCTGCTGTCCAGTATTTTATTAACTGGGAAGAGCAGGCACACTGACTTTTCTGCTTAGGCTGGCTTTGAACCTCAAACCTTAGATCTCATCTCCCAAGGAACTAGGATTACAGTCTTGAGCCATTGATGCCTAGCCACATGAGAATTTTGTGGGTATGAAGAGTTCATCACCAGCTGCTGGTGGCTCATGCCTGTCATCCTAGCTACTCAGGAGACTGAGATTTGAAGATCAAGGTCTGAAGCCAGCTGGGGCAGGAAAGTCCATTAGACTTTTATCTCCAATGAACCACCAAAAAGCCAGCAGTGGAGCGTGACTTAGTGGTAGAGCACTAGGTAGCGTGTCAGCCTTAGGTAAAAAAGATGAGGGACAGTGACTAGGCCCTGCGTTTGAGCCCCAGGAGTGGTACAAAAATATAATTAAAAGAAAGGAGCTGGGTGCCAGTGGCTCACCCTGTAATCCTAGCTACTCAGGAAGCTGAGATCTGAGGATCACAGTTCAAAGCCAGCCAGGGCAGGAAAGTCCATGAGAGACTTATTTCCAATTAATCACCAGAAAACCAGTAGTGGTGCTGTGGCTCAAGCGGTAGAGTGCTAGCCTTGAGCTGAAGAGCTGAGGAACCCAGAGTTCGAGCCCACAACCGACACACACATACACAAAAAAAAAAGGAAAAAGAGTTTGTAAAACAAGAGGCTCTCTGAAGGGAGGAATTTACAGGCACAGCTGGCAAGACCCTTTCCTGAGACGGGGACAGTGGCAGGAGGTCATGTGGAGGGAGGGCGGACCCAGCCAGGGAAGACCAAGGGAAACACACACACACACACACACACACACACACACACACACACACACACACACACACACACACACACACACACACACACACACACACACACACACACACACACACACACACACATCCTGGAGAGGCAACTGGTCACAAGACAGCACCTTGAGTGGAAACACTCTTTTTTTTTTTTTTAATGCTGGTCTTAGGCCTTGAGCTCAGGACCTAGGTAGTCTCCCTGAGCTTTTCTGCTCAAGACTAGTGCTCTACCACTTTAAGCCACAGTGCCACTTCCAGTTTTCTGGTGGTTCACTGGAGGTAAGAGTCTCATGGACTTTCCTGCCCAGTCTGGCTTCAAACTACGATCCTCAGATCTCAGCCTCCTGAGTTGCTGGGATTACAGATGTGCACCACCACACCGGGCACGTGGAAACACTTCTGGGTGACTACTGTACCTGAAGTGGTTAGGCTGTCAGAAACTCCATGGCCAGATGGCAACCTGAGTCAGAAGGTACTGGCAGGATCGATCTTGCTCCTCTGCAGGAAAGAGAGGCAGCCACAGCCTCAGGTGACATCCATGCCACAGAACCGGAGAGGGGGTAGCCAGCCTGTCAACTCCAGTAAGAACCAAGGCAGAGGGCCCTGATTCCATCAAGGGCAGGGAGATTTGCTGTAGAGGATGGGGTAGGGGGAAGCAAGTAGCCAACACACACAGCACAGAAATGAGTCTTTCAGGGAACAAGCAAGCCAGAGCCACTGCCTCCGGTCTCAAGGGTTCACAGCCCACCAGCTGCCCTGATCACCCTCTCACACAGCAGCCCTCTCCCCTCAAAGCTCTGGCGTAGGAAGAGGAGGGCCCATTCCAACCAGAGAGGGTATGCTCCAAAAAGAAAGCCAAGTGGCCAACAACCAGCAGTCCTAGGGTGGCCCTCTTAGGAGAAACAGAGGCCACACAGGAATCTAATGCTCACTGGCATGGAGACTAGCCCCCCAGAGGATGAGGATCCTCTGCCAAAGCCCCACTGCTGAGCTGGGGCCAGGGAGAGTCTCCACAGTGCGTTCATTCTTCAGGGGAGACATGGCTGCAGTCTCATGTCCCTGCTCCCCTACATCCCCCAGCTCTTCTGACAAACCTAACAAAGTGGGGGTGTGCCCTTCCTTTTCCACGGGCACCAGATATGGCAGAAGGGGGGAGGAGCAAGAGGAAGACAATAACGGCAGACATGTTTTGTCTGAGAGAAGCAGGTTCAAGTGAGGCAGTGAGGTAAGCCTGTCATCCCCAGCTATTTAGAGGGCAGAGAAAGGTGGACCGAGATCTGAGGCCTGCTGGGACAAAAATGTGAGACCCTATTGGAAAAATAACTAAAGCAAAAAGGGCTGGGGGTATGGCTCAAGTGGTAGTGCACCTGAGTTTAAAAAACCCAGAACCCCAGAAACAGGAGAAAGAGATGAGAGAGAGACAGAGACAGAGAAAGAGAGAAAGAAGCAGGCAGGCAGGCAGCAATGCATTTACTTTGATGGGCAGAAACTTGAAGCCACCAGCACATAGCTACCTGAACTTGTCAACTAACTGCGGCCTCAAATGGGCAGTGACACACACACAGATGGGTGGATGATAACTCCTCCTACTAAGGCCCACGAAGGCTCCTGCTGCCCTCCCACCGAGGATGGGACCAGGCCCCTCAGTATGCAATATGTGTCCCAACCTACAGCCTGGCCCTGGCTGGCAGCCCTCTACAAGCCACAGCCGTCTGCCTGGCCTGGAGGACGTCTGGTCACCTTGCATTTGCAGCTCGAGGAAGCTGTGTCATCCCAGCTACATCCCAAGGTGACGGACGCAGTCAGGACACCGCCTAGAACACCTGTGCGGCAGCTGTGCCCACCCCTGCCCCCCTCCGGCTTGCCGATGGCCCACCGGCTCCCCGCCAGGCATTCCGTCTCCAGCTGTCCCCGTGGCTCAGCTGCTTTCAACCTCTGCATCCAGCTGGGGACAATCCCTGGGTACACCTGAGGGCCCAAACCTGCCAGTTCCTTCTCCCCTTCCGTATCTCCATCATGGAGGACAGCCACCCCCATATCACTCAGCCCTCATCTTTCCTCCTAGCCCACTACATGATCCCATGTGAAGACTTCTGCCCTCCACCTGTCCCCACAGCCTGGCAGTAGCTCAGGCCCAGCTTCTGTCCAGACCATGACTTTGACTCAACAGGATCCCAGTTCTGTCCCCACAGACAAGCAGAGGTCTTGGGGGTTCCTCCTGAGTCCCCTATTCCCTAGTCTACCATCACCTCAGGCTGCTCTGGACCCTTATCCCCCACCCCTGCATTGAGCTGGGGGTCCCCACCCCTTCAACTCCCTCCTAGCTGGCTTGTGGGGTAGCCAATCACCTTGGACCAAGACTTGGTTTTAGAACTTTCTATTAGAGCTCTACTAAGCAATGGAGAATATTCTACCTAAGATGCAAGGCATAGAGAAAGGTCTGCTGCACAAGATCTGGGCTTGGGCAGAGAGGGAGAGTTAGAGAGAGGGTGACTACCCCCCCTCCTCACTCCCCCCTACCCTTCCCCCCCCCCCCCCCCCCCCCCCCGCAAAAAACAAAACTGCCAGATGGCCACCTGGAAGAACAGTCAGGTGTCCAACCAGGCACTAACCCTAAACCTGACCTCAGACCAGGCAGGCTGGAGCCCTGGCTGTCCCATTGCCTTCAGTACACTGGACGGTGCGGTGGGCATCGCCTCTACCTACTTACAAAGGCTACAACGTGCAGATAATACTTTCAGTTTCCTGCAACTGTAAGAAAGAGGAAATACACAGAGCCTGTGACTTATAAAAAGCAAAAGTAAATTCCGGAACAACGCATCTTCCATTAGCGAAGGACTGGGAGGGGAGGAGAGGGGAGGGGAGGGGAAAGGAGCGTGAGTCACTGTTTACTGCTCAGATCGGCCACACACAATTCTCCCAGCTGGCAGCGGTTCCATTTCCCGTGTGGACTGGACCTGAAATCCAGAATTTCCACTCCAGAAACCTTTAGACTTAGATACAGCCAGGGCAGAAACAGGCATAACTTCTTGTGGGTCTAGACAGCAAGCAGCTTCGCCCGAGACTGTAAACAAACCCTCCTCTGGCCCTCACAGAGGGAAAGCCATTTGGGTGGACAAAGAATAATCCAGAAAACTCTTGCTCAATGGCAGTCTTGGCAAGGACTGGAGAAAAACCCCAACTCTGGATAAGAGCTGGCTTCCTGCATACCCTCTGTCCGGACCCCTGTGTTTAGTAGCCACCTGGAAAGTACAAAGCACTGAGCTTAGAACCAGTCCCTCCAGGCTCAGTTCAAGTACAAAAGGCAAACGGGATCCAGAGAAGCCAGTCATGTTTCTTGCTTTAATATATACAGTCTGATTTTGGAACACGAAGAGGTATAGTTTTAAAGGGAGAGTCCCATTACCAAGGTCAGACTCAGACATTCTGGCACCAATAGCTAAGGGGCAAAGTTCTTGAAATTGGTGTTGGCTGGGCACAGCACAACAGGCCCCACCCACTAGCACAGCCCACCTACACCTTTCCGACCCCACCCACTTGCTTCCATGAATACATTTTTTAAAAGCTCATGCTTGCAATCCTAGCTACTCAGGGGGGCTGAGATCTAAGAACAGGGGTTCAAAGCTAGCCCAGGAAGAAACATCTGTAAGACTCTTATCACCAATGAACCAGCAAAAGAAAAAAAAAACTCAAAGTGGAGCTGTGACTCAAGCGATAAGCGTGATGAGCTTATAAGTTAATGAACAGCGCTCAGGCCCTGAGTTCAACCCCCCGCACCAGCACAAAAATAAACAAATAAATGGTTAGGTTTGGCCAGGCCAGACCATGTTTAGGAGGCCACCTTTTACTGTGTGTTTGTCCTAAGACCTCATAAGGACAATGAAAGGGGTCCTAAAGCCCAAGCTGGGGAATAAAGGGGAAGTATGGGGTTCATGCTGTGGCACAGGGTAGGTTTTGGGGACTGAGTGCTTTCAGAAGCCAAGCACCTGGCAAAAGAAGAAGAGTCCCTTATTGGTCAAATGGTAAGTAAATTGTCAGGGACCTGGGATTCTGCCTGGCTCCAAGAGTCTGTGAAAAGCAGTCACAGCATGAACTGAACTCAGGATCCAAAAGCAAAAGGGCTGCCAAACACGGGTTGTTCCATGAACCGGGCAAGTTCTGCCTGGCTGGCGGGACTGCTCATCTCCGGGCATGAGTGAGGATGCCAGGGGAACACAGGGCCAGACAACTGGCTCTTCCTGAAGGAGACCTAAGTCAGGAGGTTTGGGCAATCTGTGGTTGACCAGATTACTTTCAGATCCCTCCCACCCACTCACCCAACCCCAAGTCCGCAGAAGGTGTGCAGCAGACTCACAGCCCAACACACCTGTTTGCTAACCCAACAGGGGCACCGGAGAACCGGGCGCAGGAAGAACTGTAAGACCCCGTGGCCTGTATCCAGACCTAAGGGGAGTGACGGGAAAGGCTCTCCGGGGCTGTCTCCACCCCCCCCACGGGCTTCCACGCCACGGCCTTCCTTCCGGCACCCCTAACGGGTCAGCTGATTCGAAAGTGAATGACCCGGGTCACCGAGGCCTCGGGGAACCCGGGGCCGAGAGGTCCCCCAGGCGGCGTGGCGGGGTGGCTCCGGGCTTCACCCCGCGCGGGGCGGAAGCGCGTCTCGGTGATCGCGGCAGGCGCTTCTGCACGTGGCGGGCAGCGCGGGGGGCCTCGGCCCCGCCCCGGCTCCGGGGTCCCGCCGGCCGCCCGGGCAGCACGTGCGCGAGGGTCAGGCCGCGACCGCGCGGGGACCCGGGCGCCGTCGGGACGGGCCTTCCGGCAGGTGCGCGATCGCGAGTGTCGGCCGGGTCCCCGGCGGCCGTGACTCAGCGGCCAGCGCTGCCCGCCCCGCCTCGCGCCCGCGATCCGGTCCCGGTCCCGGCCTCGTCCCGTTCCCCGCGGCCCGGCCGCCGCCCCTCCTTACCTGGCGGGCGTCGCGCGGGGCCCGGGCGCGACGGCTCCTCGCGGTCTCCCGCTTTCCTCGCGCGCTCCTCCTCGGTGCTTCCCCTCGGCCGCCGCCTCCGCCCCGAGCTCCGGTTCCGACTTCACCAAGAACAACAAGTCCCCACCGCCCGCCGCCCGCCTGCCGCCGGCTCCTCAACACTGACACCGCTTCCGGGATCGCGCGTCGGCGCGCGTCACTGCCCCACCCGCCGCGTAGGCCCCGCCCCTGCATGCCCCGCCCCTACATGGAGCCACGCCCCCCGGGGAACCCGTGGTGCCGCTCACCCAAATACGCCCGCCGAGATGCCCCGCCCACCCACTATAACCACTCCCTCCGGAGACCACGCCCCCTCCACTCACTTCCCTCACCTGCGCAGCGCCGCGTCGCCAGTTCTGGGTAGGCAGCTGGAGCGACGCGCACAGCTCAGGGTTGGGGCGGGGGCGGGGGGGGGGGCGGGGAGGGGAGAAACCGTAGGCCAGAGCAAAGGGCTTCTGGGGAGCCTGCACGCCACAATCCAGACTGCAGGTCGTTTTCTGTGCTTCCAGGATTCTCTGCCGGTCCTGCAGGTGTTTCACGCGGAGCCGATCCGAGGGACTTGCTGTGGGTGCAGACCCAAACTTGCACCAGCACTATGTTACAGGCCAAGGGGCGTGGGGGGCGCGCTCTGAGGACCACCCACTCACCTGCAGGGCGGGTGAGCCCCCCAGAGGAGGAAGGGGTGCTTAGAATCCTCCATTGACACACACCCTCACCTGCCTTTCGAGTTCCCATTTAGACCAAGCAATGGATAGAAAGAACTATTTCTTCTCTCTTGTGAAGACGGAATTAGAAGTATCTGTAGACACCTTAACTCTCTTCCTCCTTAGTGAGGAGCCAGGAGGAGCCCCAAGATGCAACCCTAGAGATGGCCGGAGACAGGATGAGGGGGTCTGGGCCCAGAAGCCCTGTGAGTCACCCCCTTCCCCAGGTGAGGGCCCACCTCTGGTAAGCCTTCACTTCCTGTCACAGAGAAAGGGCAGAGCTGGAGCCTCCCCTTTCTGAGACCTCACAGGCAAGCCCCAGGCGTATTTCAGAGTTCTCTCTCTCTGAGAATGATGGGCTAAGAGCTAGAAGAAGAGAAGGAGGTATACCTGGGCTCTAGTGACACACACTGCGCTGCCCCAGCACCTCCCCTGCACATCCCCCATTGAGTGTGTTTTTGGGTCCACATCCTAAGAAGCAGGACCAAGTGCTGAGAAGCTAGCTCAGATGTGGGTGACAAACACGGCAGCACAACTGGGTATATAGGAAACACTGGCTGCTTCCTGCTCTCGCTCCCAAGGCCTTCTTACTGGCCACATGTATCCCCTTGGGACCACCAATGACCTGGTAACATGACTCACCTGTCCTCCCACACAGGGCTAGATCTGCCCTGTGGCCTGTAGGCAGCTATTGGTAGGACTCTTTCCTAGACATCAGGTAGTATTTGGATTTCTCAGTGGACCAGCTGTGTGTGTGTACCAGCTTGGGGCCTAGGTGCTATCCTTTAGCCTTTTCACTTAATGCTAGTACTCTACTAGTTGAGCCTCTCCTTCACTTCGGCTTTTTTTTTTTTTTTTTTACTGGCTAGATATAAGCATCACACAGACCTTCCTGTCCCAGCTGGCTTTGAACTGTGATCTTCAGATCTCAGCTTCCTGAGTGAGCCACCTATATCCACCCGATCTCTGACTTTTTATTTATTTACTTATTTATTTATTTATTGGGTCCGGTCATGGGGCCTGAACTCTGGGCCTGGGCGCTGTCCCTCAGCTCTTCAGCTCAAGGCTAGCACTCTACCACTTGAACCACAGCACCACTTCCAGCTTTTTTTCTTTTTGCTTATGTGGTGCTGAGGAATTGAACCCAGGGCCTCAGGCATGCAAGGCAAGCGCTCTACCACTGAGCCACCTTCCCAGCCCTCTCACTTTTTATATTAAGCTTTTGTTACAATAACATTCTTTTTTTTTTTGGTTGGTCGTGGGACTTGAACTCTGGGCCTGGGTGCTGTCCCTCAGCTCTTCAGCTCAAGGCTAGCGCTCTACCACTTGAGCTACAGCGCCACTTCCGGTTTTCTGGTGGTTTATTGGAGATAGGAGTCTCACGGTCTCTCCTGCCCTGGCTGGCTTTGAGCCGCGATCCTCAGATCTCAGCCTCCTTAGTAGCTAGGATTACAGGCATGAGCCACCAGCGCCGGGCTGTTACAATAACATTCTTGTCTTATTCTAATACTTTCCTTAAAAGCAGGAAACCTACCATTAGTAGCTTATGCCTATAGTCACTCAGGAACTAGAGATCAGGAGGATTGAAGTTCCAGATCAATCTGGATTAAAAAGTTAGCAAGACCCCGCCTCAATGAATGAACTGGGTGAGGTAGTGTATGACAGTGATCATGGAGGACCACGAGGCTTAGAACCTGGGATTCTCCTGCCTCTGCCTCCTGAGTGCTGGGTCCCAGCATGCCTGGTCATCCAGGTTCCACTCCTGAGTGGCTTCAGACCTCCCCCTCTTCCCCACCATGGTGCCTGGCTGGCCATGATAAATGCTCCCCTTATTATAGCTTTAGGGCAGAAGCCAGGCTGGTTCCGTCCTGATAAACTGTCCCTGGGAAAGGTCCTGTGACCCACAGGGCCTGGGCTTGGGGCCTGCATGCCAGGATCTGCCCTTCACCATATCCAGCCCCTGGGGGAGGGAAGGCCCATTGCACCAAGAGGCTAGGCATCCCAGGAGAGGCAACCCCCCCCCCCCCGCCTGCCCTTCTCCCAGAGGGTCCCCAGCGGGGACTCAGGTGGTCCTGGCTAAGGCTGGTGAATGAGACACACATTGAAGTCATAGACATCAATCACTCCGCTGTAGCAGTGGGCTGGATCTGATCCTAAGGAGGGAGTGGGGAGAGGGAAGGGGCAGGCAGGAGTGGGCTACCTTGGGGTAAGGGTAGACTCTCCTGGAGAGACAGGCACTGGTAGCTCAGGCCTACAATACTAGCTATTTCAAGATGTAATACTAGCTACTGAAGATGGAGGTTCAAAGTCAACCCAGGTAAGGAAAGTACATGAGACTGTTATCTCCAATTGACCTCCAGAAATTGGGAAGTGGTGCTGTGGCTCAAAGCACTAGTGCAAAGGAACTCAGGGACAATACCCAGAATCTGAGTTCAAGCCCCACAACTGACAAAAAAAAAATCTGGAGACTGGGAGAGCAGCAAAGTGGGGCTGGAGCCTTGTTGAAGCTAGACTTGAGGACATCGCGCAGCATCTGTACAGGTAGCAGAGGCTGGGGGTGGAAGCAGGTCTGCAAGGCCTAAGTCTGCTGTTTGCTGTCCAAATATGTTCAACTCTGGCTTTGGTGTGGAGCTGCAGCACATGGTAAGTGCCTGCCCTTGTCCAGTGGGCAGCGTGTGGACCGTGCATAGCCAGGGCCAGGGCTGCCTGCTGGCCTGCAGGAGGGGGTTAGAGACTTGCCAGATGGACAGCCAGATGGACAGCAGCTGAGGGTACTCCGTGCAAAAGCAGCCAGCATCCAACTGCTGGGCAGGGCTGTGCCCTCGGGGAAGTTTCCTAGGCCTGTGTTCCTCTCAGGAGTGCAGGTGTCCAGCCAATCCCCTGAGCTGGTCCTGCAGGAGTCACAGTAGGAGCCTGTCCAGGCATGATGGGAGCCTCTATGTCTCATCCTTGATGGCTTCTGGGTGAAGGAGGGGTCAGAGGTGAGCTCCTGGAGGAGCCAGAACCTCTTAGAGTAGAGGGAGAAGGGGGTCCTGGGGAGGGAGGAGGTGGGCTTCGGTTTCCACATCTTCACATGGCCTTGGGTGAAACAGCCACTATCTCTAAAAAGTGGTACAGCATCGTTTAAAAACAGCCTTTGTTTAAAAAGTACCAGGAGGGACTGGAAAGATGGCTCAGTGGTAGAGCACTTGCCTTGCATGCATGAGGCCCTGGGTTCGATTCTTCAGAACCACATAAGCAGAAAAAAAAACGGAAGTGGTTCTGTGGCTCAAGTGGTAGAGCTCTAGCCTTGAGCTAAAGAGCTGAGGGACAGCGCCCAGGCCCAGAGTTCATGCCTACAACTGACACACACACACACACACAAAAAGTACCAGAAGGACACCTAACTACTCAGGAGGCTGAGCTCTGAGGATCACAGTTCAAGACCGACCCAGGCAGGAAAGTCTGTGATTCTTATCTACAATGAACCACCAGAAAACTGGAAGTGGCGCTGTGGCTCAAGTGGCAGAGTGCTAGCCTTGAGCAAAAGAAGCTCAGGGACAGTGCGCAGGCCCTGAGTTCAAGCCCTAGGATTGGCAAAAAATAAAAATAAAAAGTACCAGCAGTGTGGGGGTGGGAAAGGGAGCAGGCAGCTATAGCTCACATCTGTAATCTTAGCTTCTCTTAGGCTGAAATCTGGAGAATTGAGGTTCAAAGTTGACTTGGGCAGAAAAGCCCACAAGACTTGCTCTCCAATTAACTAGCTAAAAGCAGAGCTAGAGGCATGGCTCAAGTGATAGGGTGCCAACCCAACAAGAGTTTGAGGCACTAAGTTCATATCTCAGAATTTGTACACACATCAAAAAGAAAGGGGGGGAGGAGGGAGAGAGAGAAAGAAAGAGAGGAGAAACAGCAAGAAAAAGAAGGAAAAAAGCCCATAGGGAACATGTTTTTAAAGTGCACAGGATTGTCACCCAGAGAGCTGTCATAATTATGACATCTTTATTTGTGATTAAGCAATATAGTCGCTTTCCATTCAGAGTTTGAGAGCAGTTCCATCATATTCCTGCCGAAGCAGGCCATGGTAGTTCATGCCTGTAACCCTAGTTACTCAAGAGGTAGAGATCAAAAGGATTGTGGTATGAGGTCAGCTCACGCAAGAAGGTTCTCTAGCCCTCATCTCAGCCAGTGAAAAGCTGGACAGGATGGTGCACATCTTTCAGCCTACTCTAGAAGCTAGCTTAAATAGGAAGCTCTGGGCTTGGTCCAGATACACACCAGGACAAAAAGTGAGACCCTGGCTCAAAATAGTGAACACACAAAAAGGGCTGGAGGTGTGGCTCAGTGATAGAGCACCTGCCTAGAAATTGGAAGGCCCCCGAGTTCAAATCTTAATTCCTCAAAGATTAAAAAACTAATAATAAAATAAAGATACTTGAGAAAGCCGGGTGCTGG